ATAACCATAGAGCACACAATATACATCACACATTAAAAGCACTTCTGAAAAGGTGAGTTTTGATTTGTGATTTGAACATTGTAAGATTGGTGCAGTCTTGGATGTGTTTAGGGAGAGAGTTCCAGAGGGAGGGGGCAGCTATGGAAAAGGCTCTGTCATAGTAGGTGTTGGTCTACTGGATAAAAGGAAATGCACAAACACATGACCAGCCTCAAAAAGACGCTGACTGCTAACAAATAAAAATTACAAAAGCTGTTTAGAACAGAGAAATAAGGTGATGTTGATGGTGATAGATGTGTTGCACTGGGTGATGCTCCTCTGTTTCCTCTACCTGTCTCTACCTTTCTCCTCTTTGAGCCTCTTATTGACAAAATCAGGGTTGGTTCATTACTGGTGGGATTAATAATGGTGAGAGGGATCGACAGGTCATTTTAGAAATTATTTCACAGAAAAAAGTAGACATTGTGGTGTAAATGACACCGTTTCCATTCAAATATGAATGTCGGGGCTTGTGGACTTGGATGACACCAAATGGGCAGAATAGAGGCATGTTGTGTATATTTCTGTTGTTTTATTATGTCTGAAGAGGTCATTTTGGCTGAAACACTGTTTACTCCTGAGACTCGTGTTTAGTGGACTCAAACACTTCATCCACCACACCATCAGCATAGTGGTGAGTACTGTCCCTTTAAGGATATAGATGTTCCTACATTCTGCTTTTTTGACCAGGAGAACTCTTTTTCTTAGTCCAAGAAAATGATGTGTCTCTCTCCCTGATGGTAAAGTAAGCATGGATCCTGCTGTCATGACAACATGCTGTGAACTTCTACAGCAGTCTGTTTAAGGTGGACTACTGTGACAAGGGGTGTATCGGATATGCTGTTCCATAGGCTTCCTGCAGCTGAACTCTGAAGACAGAACCTTTAGGAGCTCACTATTGCTGTGGCTCAGATGGCGTGTGGTAAAGGACTTTTTCAGCACTGGAGGTGTTAAGGAGGTGTTGGAAGTGCAGCAGTCGTATTCGCAGACAGGCCTGTTATGAATATTCTGTCTACAAACAGTCACTCTACTTGAAAAAAGAGGTTTTGCTCTTCTCAAGAACTAGACACAAGTGATTTTATGTTGCACAGATGATAAACTTCTCTCAAAAGTCTGTGCCAATAGAATTCCAATAAACTGGAATTAACAATCCACAGAGACCATTCTTATTGNACACACACACACACGTTTGTACAGCTATCTTAGTGAGGACACTCATGCATTCCCCAGCCCCTGAATCCAAGTCTTGACCCCCAAACAGTCCATTAAAGGCGGGGGGGTCACAAAGTGAGGACTGGACAGAATGTCCTCACAAAGATAGCTGTACAAACACACACTCCCGCTCTTGAAGTTTTTCTTCCTCCTTTGTCTCCAGCTCTGAAGAAACATCTGGATCAACTTCTGCTCTGTGTGTGTGTGTGTGTGTGTGTGTGTGTGTGTGTGTGTGTGTGTACTCTGCAGACAAAAGCACACTACATAGACACACAGCATAAAACAGATAAACACAAATACTGAAGTGCACAACAACACAAAAACAAAGAGGAGTGTTGAGTTGTGTGTTTTCAGAGTCTTCAGAGGGACACGCCCATTTCCTGTTACGGAGCAGAGGGAGACAACGTTTCACTCTTTATGTCTTTGATGATGTTTGGACGAAGTGTTTTACACGAATCTCTGTGACTTCATGAGATGTGTGTGTGTAGGACTCAGCAGCTTGTGAAACATGGCGGCCTCCCCTCATTCTGAGGGAAAGTGATTCTTAGTTTCAGCAGATTAATAAACCTGTGACGAAGGTTCGATTATATTTCTGATTATTCATCCTCCTGAATCAAAGCAAATGTTCTTTACTTTCATCAGCATCGTCTGAATCAACTTGTTTCTTTACTGAAGGAAAAAAACAAGTTGAAGAAGAACCTGTGGCAGCTTCAGTTTTCATAAAAAAAGGTTTTAGTTTGTTCAGTCTGGACTAATGTAAAACACATGGCGGCCTCCGTAGAGAGGGTCCCCTCCATGTTAATATAAAGTACTTAAATATAAAGTATGTAAATACAAAGTATATCAAGGGCCTTTTCTGGTGTGAAGAAAACTACAATTTTTTATCATTAAGATGAAACAAACCGTTGAAAACATCATGAGGATTATTCTACATTACATTTCTACCTGTAGATCCTTTCATCTGATCCTTTCATCTGATCCTTTCATCTGATCCTTTCATCTGATCCTTTCATCTGAACCTTTAACATCCTGCTGTTGTGTTTATCTTCCTTCATGTTGTCGCTTGTGTTTAATCATTGTCTGTCCTCATGTTGTGACTTCTACTGGATTCTGTTCTTTTATATCCTCGTCTCATAGAAATCTCTTTACTACACACGATTGATTTTATTCAAGATCTTTGAGAAATCAGTGAAAATATAAAAAAAATATTTCACAATGTTAAAGAAAGAGAGAAAGAAATCCGGTCTCTGCCTCCTGATCCAGATCTGATCCATTACATTTTTAAAAATTGGGGGAGGCAGTAGCCGGTCCATAGCGACTTGGCTTGGACGGAAGTTGGAGAGGTGCCAGTTCACCTCCTGGGCACTGCCGAGGTGCCCTTGAGCAAGGCACTGAACCCCCCAATTGCTCCCCGGGCGCCTTCATGGCTGCCCACTGTTCCGTGTGTGGTCACTGTGTTCCGTGTGTGCTCCGTTCACACGGATGGGTTAAATACAGAGGTCAAATTTCCCCATGTTTGCATGTTGCTGTGTGTGGGACCAGAAAGAGGAATCTTAATCTTAAACCTGTTTCCACCAAGTTTACTGGAAATCTGTCTCACAGCCTCAGAGTCATTTTGTCTACAAACAAACAGAGAAGAAATAACACAATTTTTATTTCGTCTCCAGTGGTTTGAGTTCTGTGCTCTGACGTTTTCCCACTGTGAGACATCAGGTAGAATCAATCCAGTCTGGAGGTTAAAGGTCAGATCCACTCGTCTCCCTCACCTCACACCTCTCGTCCTCACCTCAGGTGTCCCTGCTGGCGTCCAGTCCCTCAGCCACCTGAGCTTCAACCTGTGTAAGTGGTGCGAGGCGTCCAGTCCGGTGTGTAAGGACAGCGTCTGCATCAGTAACTGCAGCCTGTCGTCCTTCTGCAACGCCATCGAGGAGATCTGCATCGCAATATGGTGAGAGGACTCCGAAGAACCTTTCCTTACTTTTAGTCAGCGCTGGGTTTTATTTGACTTTATTTCATTTCATCTCATTATTTTATTTAAAATGCACGTGGCTGAGATGAAGCCTGTTGATTTGTAGGAACACGAGTTTTACAGAGATCGTAGTAAAGTTCAAATTAAAAAGGGGTTTACAATATTTCTTTAAAAGTTCTCAAATAAACAACAACATTTTAAATTCTTTTTGAAAATGAAAAAATAAAAACCTGGATTCACAAAGTGAATTAAGATCAGAGAGTTTCATCATTTCTGTGATAACGAGAGGAAACTATATCAAAATATTACAGATATGAAAACACAAGAGAAAAGTGAGAACAACTCAACAAGTGGCTTCATGAGAAAATGTAAAGTGATGAAGAGTGATGAAGAGTGATGAAGAGTGATGAAGAGTGATGAAGAGTAGAATAAAGTGACCACAGCTGATAATCAGAGACTGTGATGACCTCACTGAACCTTCACTTTCTTCACGAGTGGAAACTTGAGTCTTTTGTTTGGATAACAGCGTTAGGTCAGGACACGCCCCTCCACCACACACTCACCGCACCCTCTCATTTCCTGTGCCGCCCCCCCCCCCNTACGTGTGTGAATCCAGCTGGATTATAACAGTCAGTGCTCGGACTTCACTGTTCTTTTATTTATTTATTTTTATTTATTTATTTTTTGTTACACTTATATGGCACTTATTCTGTAGCACTTTGTTTTGTATTTGTATTCTTAAGCAAATTGTACTAATTGATTCTTGTTTGTTGTGGGTTTGTTCCCTCATGGTTGATGCACTTATTGCATGTCGCTTTGGATGAAAGCCTCAGCTAAGTGAAATGTAATGATTAAAGGGTGGTGCACCAGCATTATTAACATTAATGAATAATGTAATTATTTTTAATAATCATAATTGATGATTCATTAATAATTAGCAAATTATCAAATCTGCTCCTTGTGTGCACAACAGGTCTCTAGAATCAGTTTATTCCATTAACACTGTTGGTGTGTGTGTTTTATACCAGGTGTATGCTGCACTGTCTCAGGTCCCTAACATGCATGTCTATGCAAGACAGGAGATCCCTGAACGTTTCAATTACAAAGGAGGGAAGTTTGTTTCGCCCCTGACACTAGTGGCTGAGCCTGGCTGGTTTATCATTGAGGTAATGAGAAATATTGAACTTGGATCACCACTTTATATAGGGCAAAGCCTACTGCTCTTTAACTGCTGATTCTCTCCCTCTCTCCCTCTCTCTCTCTCTGTGTGTGTGTGTGTCTCCAGAACAATAAAAACCTGCCATACTGGAAAAACCACTCAGGGGAGCCATCAGCTTGGCAAAATGGCTGGCATGGTTACGACAACGAGTTTCTTGATATGAGAGGCATTTTCTTGGCAACAGGACCTGGTAAAAAGACACATGAAACTACAACCATACAGTTCTCCTGTTATCCGATGTATTGGGCAACAGACAATACATGTATAGTTTATCTGTCTCTGTCTATCTCTTGTTTCTGTAAATATTGTAACTTATTTTTAGGCTATTACTTTGAGATATATTTCTGATTTTCTTTACCTATTTTCATCTAGACTTCAAGCGTAATGTTCAGATGGCTCCAATTCGAGCAGTGGACATCTACAATGTGATGTGCTGGACATTGGGAGTGGAGCCTTTGCCCAATAATGGGTCCTGGTCTCGTGTAGAGAACCTTCTGAATGACTCTAATGGTCCACTCCAGCCCAAAACCCTCTGGATATGCTGTATGGTTTTGATACTGCTTGTACTGTGGGATGACAACAGTTAATAGTTCCATGGTTATATGATCTGACAGTTGTGATAAGTGATCTTTGAAAACAGTTAATACATTTAACCATGTACAGGTTAAAACTCATGAAGGAAAGAGTAAAGAAATTATTTGATGATGTGCACTTCATATTATGTCTTTCTCTAGAGCTAATAAAATTAGTTTATGTCTGAGGCAGAACATATCGGTTTATTTGATTAATGAATCTAACAAATTAAATTGTCTGTGCAATTTCACTGCGTTAACTTACTCTCTAATTTGTTTTGATAAGCATTCATTGGCATAGTAACACCTAAAAGTTATGGATACAACATGTCAAAAGGACTCTCTGTTGGAACATACATTTTTTATATTGTCATGTTAGACCACATAGTTCTTTCAATGACAACTTCTTGGAGATAATAATAATTAAGCTCGGAGTAATTTCAATCAGGAAGACCTGCCCCCATTCAATCAATCCCAGTTTCTTACTCTCTATGTTTGTTAATCAGCTGTTTGTGGGCGTGTCTAAATGGCCACTCAGATTATGCCACAGTCTCTTCCAGCCAATCATGCGACTGCTCTCAAACTCTAAATCTCTTCTCCTCCCTTCCACAGTATGGAGGAAATTTAACTTTGCAAGACTTCTGAAATAAAGAGATCTGACCATAATGTTTTTTTAATTGCACAGCTATTCTTTGGCAAAGAAGGTCAAACAGATCTTACAGTATGTGTAGATGGATAAGACCAAGAACATTTTTAGGGCATGCTCTTTTATACAGAGATGATGTATGTGTGTAAGAATGGAGTGTGAAGTAAACCCCCAGAAGATAAGATGTGGGATGAGACAGTACAGTCTGATGTATGGATCTCTCAGAGATCTAGTGAATCTAATAATTAAACGTCATGATAAATCTGCCATGAGGCTGGTCAACAACTGATCACACGTGGTATGGTCATCTTGTCACACATGATATGCATTAGCACAGATAATAATGTGGTTACATAAGCATGCATAAGCAGAGATAATCAGAATCAGAAGTACTTTATTAATCCCCGTAGGAAATTAATGTTACAGAGCCCCTGAGAAAGAGGTGAAAGAGCAAAAGGTGAGGTGAAACAGCAAAAGCAGGTATACATACATAGTATAGTGTGATTATATAATTTTCCATTACAGCAGTCAGCCATCATTCACTGATCTCTTATGGCACATCTTGATATCGAACTCTGACCAGGATTATCCCCAGTTTACGGACCCCAGCATCAATCTGCTCCAAGAGATCACATCCAGTATTGTCACAGACGAGCCCGATTTCCTCATCGCTCAGCTTCAAGATCGCGGCATTATGCCAGATCCAGGCCTGCCCGTTCTCAGCTCAGCAAGGACCAAGAAAGCCCCTCTTCTGAAGAAAAGTAACACCTCGTCCCGCTCCCGCACCCACTTCGACTTCAGATTATATTGTGACAACCACCTTGCAGTCCCTGGCAATCACCATGCAGAACATCAACTCTTGTCTAAAATCCTTCAGAAACACTCCCTTCGCTGCAAGCCTCCTCAATAAATGGTCTGTTTTCATATAGCGCTTTACATTCACACATGCATTTATACAGTGCATCCATGCACAGCAATTTTCTCTATGAGAGAGCAATTTGGGGGTCAGTATCTTGCCCAAGGACACTTCGGCATTTGGAATGGGGAAGAATGGGATTTAACCACTGACCTTCTGGTTAGAGGACGACAACTCTAACTCCGCCAGCCACAACTGCCCCAACCAGGTGCAACCACTCATCTCCCAGACACTCACACAACATTCTCTGGCTTCAGCCATCCCAGCTCCGGCTCAGTCAGCAAATATTTCTGCATGGCTCAGATCAAAATTATAACAAGGCATATATGCTAATCTGTTCTGTCTAATTCTACCCCGAAAAAGACAAGAACTTGACGCTTATCAAGCATTCATCTGCAATCTGAATTTGAGATACGAAAAAACATCTTATATATGCTCCGCTTAGGCAAAATCATCAGAACGCACCACATACACTTCCATTGTTATGCAGACGACACCCAGCAGTACATATCTATGAAGCCTAATGGATCTAATTTAGTTCAACTTCAGGAATCTCTCAAGAACATCAAGACCTGGATGACCCAAAACTTCTTACTTCTAAATTCAGAAAAAACTGAGGTTGTTGTAATTGGCCCTAAACATCTCAGAGAATCACTGTCTGAACTGTTGGGACCTGGTATCGATGAACCGGGGCCTATATGTGAAGTCAAAAGCCTGACCGCATGTCTCCTTTGCTCTGGAGACAAAGGAGAGCTTCCAGAACTCAGTCTCCCAGGGTGCTTCATCTTCACACATAGGTGGTAAAACTGCTCCTGGAGACAACTCTCAACCACTATTGGTCACTGTGTGCCCCTTGACCCATGAGGTCACAAGGCCAATATAAGCCGAGTTTCCCCTCTCCTATCTCTCTCTTCTCTCTTCTGCCTCTTCCCCTGCTGACCACTCCTGTAGGAGTAGGTTCTGCTCCCAGCCAGGGAGACTTCCTCCTTACACAAGCTCCTCAACTTCAAGCAGGCCTGTCTGGAGCAGACTGCTAAAACCTTCCAAAGGCAGCGAYGCGAGAGCCTGCCTAAGAACTTCAGCACAACTGGCCACGACACAAGGTCTGACCAGCAGATGCACAACAGGAGCCACAAACCAACAAGACCACTTCACTGGACTTCAAACAGCACATCCAAAAAGGACCTTTCCTTCCTTTTCATGGACGGGTAACACAACTGGGCATTATTATTACGCTAAGCAAAGGACTGATTTCATGTGATGTTTATAAGTTTGATTTGTGTTGTGATATTTGGTAATTTGTTATTCGAAAGTTAATGTTAGTTCTGTTATGCTGATCACTTTCTTTGCATGCATATAACTACTTTCTTTAACCTGGCACCAACACCTCACACACTCATCTCCACAAACTTAAAACATATATGTGATCTCAGCCACATGGTCCCACCACTCCAGGGGGCCTTTTGTCTTCATAGTGGCCAGCCCCCAATTTGAATCTCACTCACTCACTCACTCACACACACATGCATACTTGCATGCACATCTGTTTATAGTAAGTACGCCTTTGTTAGTTTGTGTGTTGTATACTTTTATTATTCTCATAATAAATGTTTTTCTTCAAAACACGTCTTCATTAATGTTGCATGAGTGTGAATTTTGCCAACCTCTACACTGTCAGGAACTCCATATCCTTCAACTTAATAATTGGTAATTTTGGTTATAGTTATTTATTTTAATATTAATCAGAGTTCCACATTTGTAATCAGTAATTTCATGAGACTTATTCAATAAATTGGCTTTTCCATTCCTTTGAAGGGTGATGCCCCGATTTATCTTTTATCAGTTCAATTATTTCTCTGATAGCCACATTTATTTAATGCCCAATAGCACACCATTTAATGGTGCCCCGCGTGAAGGTAAGTACATAATCATACCCCGCGCGAGGGAAAGTACATAATCACAACAGTTGGTTAGGTGCTTGCTCTATTCATCCCATTCTCTCAAGTCTGACAGATGATTAGTAGCACTAGTTTCACTTAAGTCAACGCAAAGGCTTTTCCTACGTGCATGGAAAGTGTATAAAATACAGTAAACTAGATGATTGCAGGCAACAYCTCTGGAATCTGTCTCACAGTGAGAGCAATATTACTCGAACATTTTTGCTTGTGCACATTGAAAAAAATCATTGTCTCTTGTTTTATGTCCTCCTCTGTGCAGATCGACCACAATGTCATTGTAGTCATGGAGGATGCAACTCTGGCAAATTACATTCCTTCCTACGGTGACCGAATTGCTGTCTTCAATTTCTGCATAAGTAAAAAGTCCCTCCCCAAACGAAAGCAAGGGCTTTTGGAGAGACTTCGTGAGAAAATGAGAGTCAGAAAGGAAAGTACAAAGGAGAAGACATTACATCAGACACAAAGAAGCTAAAAACTACACAAAATGTAGAGATAGAATTCATGATGATGGTAAAGGAGCCAAACAGGTGAGGACAAAACATGGCGGTGGCACTAGAAAGACACAGTTGCCAATTGATGCTGGATTAAAAGCTATTTTTGAAGAAGGACAGAAGTTTTTCTTTCCTGGTGGGATCTCTCCTAAAGGACCAGTGTCGGATTTTCAGTTTGAGGTGTGGGATTTCAATCAGAACTGCCTCACCGATGAAACTTGCCAGTCTATTGGCATTATGTACATGACTGCAAAGCTGAGTATGCTACGCTTTTACATTGCAACCAGGCCAAAAGATGTTGAAGATGGTGCCAGCAAGACATCTGATGTGGTTCTTGTCTTGTCACACAGCAGCAATGAAACCAGTACAACACAACAACAAGTGGGAGATGCCACAGTTGATTTTGATAAACTCCAGCCTGCTTTAGAGATGTCTGTTGATGCTGAAATGACCTTCGGTCACCTTCATGATGTTGACGAAGACACAGACAACACGTTGATTCATGAGGGTTTTCTCATGCCCACTAGTCCACCTAATCCAGAGGATGTAATAACAATCATTATACATCATGCTAACACTTTACATGACATGATCACCGCTTTCTCTGATGCAGAGATATTGAACAAAGCAGTGAATTTGAAACGCATACTTCCAGACACACTGAAGAGGCAGGAAATGGATCCAGGGTCATGAGAGATGTTCTCAGCTGCTTCTGGTATGAATTCTACGAGCAATGCACACTTGGTACAGCAGTTAAAGTGCCCTTCATTTGACATGATTTTCCTGCTGAAACATGGAAGGCAATTGGTAGAATCCTTTTAAAAGGTTACCAAGACTCTCAAGTATCTACCAAACAAACTCGCACTCCCCTTTCTTGAGCAAGTTCTTTTTAACTGTGTGTACAGTGACCTGAAAGTGCATTTTCTACAGTTTGTAAGCAGGGAAAAACGTGACATTTTGATGCAAGCAATGAGTGATTTCTCCACGGTTGACTGTGATGACCTTTTTGAGATTCTTGACAGCTATGGATGCAGGATTCCTATAATTCTTGATGAAATAGCACACAAAGAGCTTGTCCAAAAACCGATGTTCGTCAATGACTGCTGGAGAGAGATTACCCATCATCATCTCTTCCTCAGTCCAGAGGCATTGATCAAGTTGTTAACTGACCTGCAACCAACCTCAAAAAAGGTCTGTCAGCTGCTGAAATTTGCAAATGATTTGACTCCAAAACAAAAGGAGTGAGAAATCATCTGAAAAGATTCATCAGAGAGCTAGATGAAACTAAACTGCACCGGATCTGATCTTGTAATAACAGACAGCATCTATGTGGAATTTGAAGAACTGACAGAGTTCAGCAGAAGATCAATTGGTCACACATGCTGAAAGATTCTGCTCATAGCTGCAAGCTATGACAACTTCCCGGATTTCTGTTCAGAATTTAATACAGTTCTTGAAAGCAATGTCTGGGTAATGGACATTGTTTAGATTCCCACAACCATTACAGAACAATCCTCACTAATGATGCAGGATTGCAGGGACCGAATTGCAAAGAAATGAGATAATACAAATATTTTGGAACTTTAATATGTGCACTTCAACATGCACTTCTGCACTGTCCTTAAAAGACAGATATATCCTCCA